GGGGGGGGGTCTGGTCGTAGGCCTGAACTCTGGGCCTGGGCACTGTCCCTCAGCTCTTCAGCTCAACGCTAGCGCTCTACCACTTGAGCCACAGCGCCACTTACAGTTTTTTTTTTCCTGCTTATGTGGTGCTGAGGAATCAAACCCAGGGCCTCATGCATGCAAGGCAAGTGCTCTACCACTGAGCCACCTTCCCAGCCCACCTGGCTACATTTTTATTCTTATTTCATTGTCATTCAGATGATTTTGAGTGATAAGGAAATAAGAAAAAAGTCATTCTCCATATTTTGAAATGAAAAATGACTATATCTCTGTAAAAGCAAACTAGAAAATAACTTCCTAACACTAAAATTTATATCCCTAGCTCTCCTATGGAGACCAAACTTTTCATACATACCTTCCTATCTTAATTCCTTATCCCTCATCTGTGTCTCAGTACACAAAAGGAAACAAAACAGAGCAAAACAGACCCAACAACATCAACAAAAACCCAGCTGTCCCTTTCTGACGCCTAACGAAAATATTTGCTTTTCAGCTCTGATGTTCCCAACATATCAATTCACATTTTTCTTGGTAACATTGAGGTTTGAACTCAGAGCCTCACACTTGAAGACCCTCCACTGCCGAGCTAAGCCAAGCCTTCAATTCTCTTTCACACTGGTTATTTTGTTTGATTTTTTTTTTTTGAGGGAGATACCAATCCTGGGACTTAAACTCAAGGTTGGAGCACTGTCCATGAGCTTTTTTGCTCAAAGCTAGCACTCTACCACTTGAGCCACAGCCACACTTCTGGTTTTTTAATTGGAGATCAGACTCTCACAGACTTTCCTGCCCAGGCTGGCTTCAAACCATGATCCTCAGATCTCAGCCTCCTGAGTAGCTAGGATTACAGGTGTAAATACTCTGTGCCTGGCAAAGCTCATCTAATTTTTTTTCCATTTTTTTTCCATTTTTTTTGGTGAAAATACCGTAAAGAGGGGTTACAACTTAAACAGCTGTACTGAGTTATAACTGATATACAATAAACCGTGCTTATTTGTGTTTTAGATGTGTGAATACTTGGGAGACCATTAGCACATCAGATTAATATATGCATTCACCATTTTCCATCCTCTCAGCAACCCCAGCTCCTGCCTTCCATCAAGGGGCATAAAATAAATAGATCTGTTGAGAATGATTGAAAAGTGAATCCTTTGGAAGAATGTGGTCTTGGATTGACATGGGGACTACTCATCCCCTCTCTCCTAGGTATGCAGTGCTATTCAGAATCAAGACTTCACTGTGATTGAAGACTACTGCACCGGCCTCAGAGCCCTGCTTTACCTGAAGAGCATCGAGGAGCTACAAGACTGGGATGGGCAGAGTCCAGTCACTCTGAGTCGCCAGAAGGGAAAACCGGTTCCACGCCTTGCGGAGCTCACTGGAAAGGTAGGTGCTTGCCTCTCTGCTGTTATCCTGGCAAATGTCTGTCCTGTCTGGTTTTGGCCTTCCTGTTTTCTCCCTCACACAGGAAATGCGGTTCCTAAGAGGTGATTTTTTTTTTTCTCCAGTAGAGTCACACTGAAGCAGTCTTGATTACAGTTATATGGTGGGTCTGTGAATTACCTTTTTATAAAAGCAATATAACACAAGGTCATATAAAAAACAAGATTGAAGTTTGTAGTGTAAAGTGCCTCTAGATTCTTGCTGACTGCAGTGATGATGGGCGTTCTTTCCAGTGGGAGGCTGGGAATTTCTTTATTCTTTAACAATCTCTGGAAATTATAACATTACCTTTCTATTTTGAAGACAATCAAATCACTGGAGTCCTGAATAATATGATGAAGTTTTTTTTAAAAAAAATTTAAAACCTAATCAGTATCTTTTGTAACTACCTCTGCTGTGTGGTTAAACCTGGGCTCAAAAGGTTATATCCTTACTTGCTCACTAACTGCTATTTTCTGAGAAATATACACTACATTTACATTTTGTATAATACAGTGATTTCAGCAACTCTTTTCTAAAACAACATTTCAGCATTTTGCCTTTGTGTTTCTTTTGTATTATTCTAAATAGACAAGCATTGTCAGAAGACATTTCTTGATTCCTGAGCGAGGGGAGGAAAAAATTATAATTCTTAGTCTTTTCAGCTTGTCACTACATCAATAATTAACTTTAAAAAAAGAGAGAGGCAGTATGAAAAGATTCTTTAAGGAAGCATTTAATAATTCAAATGAATCTTAACTTGAAGCAGGTCACATGAAAAAGAATGGAAAACAAAAACCTTGGGTCCACTGCTTTAGATGGTAGGGAAAGAGACTTAGCAAGAGTCAGAGAAATATCACATCACTAGCTGGTTTTATGGGAAATATCACTGTCCTGTTTCTAAAAGGTAGCCAAAAATAAAGCATCCTTGAAGAATAATGTGTGTGATTGCAAGTCCAATAATGAAAAAAGAAAGATGAAAAGAAATAAAACCTTACAATGTAGGTTCCAGGAAAATATCATGATAAATGACTCCATGAGTGGCAATCAAACAGAAAGGCTGTGACATTAATATTTATAATATTGTAATTAGCAAGACAGTGCCTAAGCAGCATTATAAGTATAACTAATCATATTATCATAAACTGAGTCTGCAGTATTCAGACAGTAAGTGTTCTTGCCTTCATCAATATCAATAAATATCCTAATGTTATTTGTAACTAAAAAAAATCACAGGTGACATTATATTCATCCAATGTAAATATGTCAAGGAAATGATTTCTTACATGATAGTTTATGATGATCTATAAAAGTATTGTCTCAAATAGGGGTCACTGACATGTGAGCTGAAACATAAGTAGCTGCATTGAGCTGTAACAGTTTGTCTGTAAAGGACGTCCACCATCATTTCTAAACTTATATATTCAAATAAAATATGAATAATGAGAAGTCTAGCACCAATCACGTAAATGGAAATAAATCTCCCAATAGTGCCAATCTAAATTCAGACTTATTTTTGTAAGCCCAGCTTTCATTTAAACCATGAGTATAAGCCAGGCGCGGGTGGCTCATGCCTGTAATCCTAGCTACTCAGGAGACTGAGAGCTGGGGATAGAGGTTCAAAGGCAGCTGGGACAGGAAAGTCTGTGAGACTCTTATCTCCAATAAAAACCACTAGAAAACCGGAAGTGGCACTGTGGCTCAAGCGACAGAGCACTCTCCTTGAGCTGAAGAGCGCAGGGACAGCGCCCAAGCCCAGAGTACAAGACCCACGACCGAGCAAAAAAAACCAAACCAAACCAAACAAAACAAAAAACCATGAGTATAATTTTCAACTGTTCTACACACAAAAAAAGACAAAAAAAGATTTTGTCTATGTGAGTATATATCATTGACTCATTTCTCAACAGATGATTGTGTTATATAGTTTTGTGCCCCTACTTTGTCTGGTGTAGGCTGATGTAACTAAACAATAAGTAAAATTTCCTTTTGGTTAATACCCCTAGTAATGAATCCTAATTATCCCTTGTGCTGCCTATGTGTGTGTGTGTGTATATGTGTATGTGTGTGTTCACATAAAAGCGATTCATATTACATTTTCCTCATGTAAGAGTAGCCTGCTGATCTTCATACTTTACATAGATTTAATGCTATAGAGAAAATGAGATAGGATGCATACTTGTCTTTTTTTTTTTTTAGAAAGACCGACTTGAAGTAGCTTAATTCTTTAGAAAGAGAAATTTTGGACAGGTGCCAGTGGCTCACACCTGTAATCCTAGCTGCTCAGGAGACTGAGATTTGAGGATCACGTTTCAACGCCAGGCTGGACAAGAAAGTCTGTAAGACTCTTATCTCCAATTAACCACCAGAAAATCAGAAGCAGTGCTATGGCTCAAGTGGTAGACCGCTAGCCTTGAGCTGAAGAGCTGAGGGACAGTGCCCAGGCCCAGAATTCAAGACCCATGACTGACAAAAAAAAGAAAAAGAAAAAGACAAAGAAAGAGAAAGAGAAATTTTGTTTGGAAAGTACAATTGTTCTTTCCCTTACTCTCGAACTCATAGATAGGGCTAGAATAAATTAGACATTCAGAAGTAATCAGTTGAAAGGCTGGGTTAGATCATGGGCAGTAAAATGAGACTTGAACTGTGGAAAGAGGAATGTGGCCAAGTTAGGAAGACATCCCCTCTTTTAAATGATGAGTAAATTTGCTGTAATATCCTTATACTTAATTCACTTGTTGACTAAAATCACTAAAAATAACTTTTTACTAAATCCAGTGTTTCTTAGGCAGCTTTCAAGGGGCAGAAAGGTAGATGTTTATAATCACATGGAGCAAAATGGTTAAATCAGTGCCCACAAAGTTTGAGCAGAACTTGACAAGAACAGTCATCAATTTCTTCCTGTTGATCTCCAACTATTAGCTCTCAATAACCAAGGGTTTTACTTGTGATTAAGGTAGATTCCCTGGCTTCATCCACTCATCCATTTCAATTCATTGGATGGAAGCTACAGTTGGGTATCTGCATTTTCCCATTGGGAATATGATGGAAATTCTCAAGGGCCTTTTATCAACAGGAATGAAAAGGAGATCAAGTAAGGAGGAGTACATGAACTTCTCTTGATGGAGAAGCTAGCAATGAATTATTTTGAATTGGAAGAGAAAGGGGTGGGTGAAGGAGAGAGAGAGAGAGAGAGAGAGAGAGAGAGAGAAAGAAGATCCACACTGGAGATTACCAAATGAGGGACCTCTCAGTAGGACAGTGGTTATCACAGTGTTGAGGAACTGCCAGGTTGATGTGATGTTTCAGTACTTATTCTCTATCAACTCAGGCTAGTTACTTAATCTCTCAAAGCCTGACTCTAAGTCTTTAAAAGGATGATACCTAGTCAAGGACACAGTTCTGCAAAAGCAATCCTGAAAAACAAAACATATTCAAATCAAATGTTTCCACATAACTCAATAGTTAGAAAAACTGACCAGTCTATTTGCAATCTTTATTTCTTCCAGTTAGAGAACAGTTACGTGTTTACTGTGCCAAGACTAGTGAATTTGGTCCCAGGTTGCTGTCCAACCCCTTGAGGGACCTAGGGGTGGGAGTCTTCCATTCAGTGGAGTTTATGGGTCATTTTACTCTTTTCACAGCTCTGGTTTGGCGGACATGACTCTTGGGATTTAAAATCAGGGCCTGTAAAAAAATTCCCTAAATGAAAATGAAAATATAAAGCTTTATGCAGAAATTCTCTGTAAGAATCAGAGGCAAGATATTTATTTTAGCGATAGAAAATAAAAATGTTACTAGTTGTCATCTTCAGGTGTAGGGAATAAGAATTTGCTCCAGAAAGATGAGAGAAATCACACACACCAGTATTTGATCGGCCAACTTTGTATTCAGAAAAGCATGGAATGTACGTTCTCACTGTGGTGGCACGGGGTGCAGATTTTCTAAAACTAGGAGCCTTGGAAGGGAGGGAAAGAGCAGAAGCCAAAACATTCAGCTGTCTGGTGTCTGTTGGTTTATCATCTGCTCTTTCCCATTTCTGGAACAGTTCTGCAACACATCAAAGAAAATTCACAAGCATAGCCTATCTGCAGGTTATCCTCTGACCTCCACACCAGAATTAATTTCTCCTCCTTTTCTAGAATCTAAGTTGTAACAAGGATCCCATGCCGATTGAATCATTACCTATTTGAATTTTTACTTCTCTGGCAACTAATCATCTTCTAAAGGGTCATCCATGTATCTCCCTCTCCCCATGTATCTCTCTCTCCCCATGTAGTATCTGTTCAAATCTTTCTTGCTAGTTTTAGTTGTTTTTGCAGGGAGAGAAGGGAGTAGTAAGACTTGAACTTAGGGCCTGGAGGCTTTAGTTTTTCCACTGGAAAAACTAAATGACTCTATGACTTGAGCCAGCTCCACTTCTGACTTTTTGATGGTGGCATTCACATAAGTCTCATAGACTTTCTTGCCCAGGTTAGTTTTGAACCATAATCCTCAGGTTTCAGCCTCCTGAATAGCTAGGATCACAAGCATGAGCAACTCATACCCAGCTTTTGTTGTTTGAGCTAGGAGTTCTTAACTATTTTAGATAGAAGCCCTTGGATTAAAAAAAGCATTGGACAAAATTTAATATACATCATAATAATTACCCCGTTTATCAATACTAAAAGGAAAGAGACATATTCAATCTAACAGAGGGCATTCTATTGCCAGCCTCTCACTTAATGTTGAAAGGATACATTATTTTCTCTTGAAGTCAAGAATTTCTACCCCATTCTCTACCATTAAATATTGTGATTGCCATCCTTACCAGTGTAGAAAGAACATAAAAAGAAATAAGTGATATCTGTGTTTGACAGGCAGGACTTAAACTGTCCTTATTTGCAGATGATAATATTGAATACTTAGAAAATCCTACAGAACTAATAAAACTTAATTAAAGTGATAAACCTGACAAAAGATAC